AACGGTTTTCTCCCGAGAAACCGGGGGAATTTCTCGCCCACTACGATATTGTTGGAGTACACCAAGTGTACTATCATGAGCCATGGTGGGATTTTTGGGATCTTTTAAAATCTCCTGGAAAACCAGATCATGAAATTTTTCAATCGAATCTGGGATTTTTACATCAGCCATTTTATAGAGCATATCAAGTTACACATGTCAAGCTATTTTTATAACTATTCGATTAGTTTAACTAAGTTTTAAATTTTTCAAACACTAGAGTGTTACCATGCACGTATATATGTATGCTTTTAAGCAATACTTGAACTAAATGTTTCTGACTCCATCAAAACTAATCGAATAGTTATAAAAATAGCTTGACATGTGTAACTTGATATGCTCTATAAAATGGCTGATGTAAAAATCCCAGATTCGATTGAAAAATTTCATGATCTGGTTTTCCAGGAGATTTTAAAAGATCCCAAAAATCCCACCATGGCTCATGATAGTACACTTGGTGTACTCCAACAATATCGTAGTGGGCGAGAAATTCGCCCGGTTTCTCGGGAGAAAACCGTTTGCCAAAATGACCGGATCGATGATTTGGGCTCTCACAGGATCATCTACTGTAAAAGAACGGAAGCATGTCTAGAGCTCGCGGTTGTGTGAATTTGTATTAGACACTATCTAGTAGTTATGATAGAATTCTTAAGTCTAAGTAATGTGTCGTTACAGAGTTGTACGTAGTTTACATTGACAGTTTCCTTTGATGCCGGAATTTGTGCATTTTCGGGCTCTTTGCAAAAACTGAATATCTCAGCAACGCAACAACTTTAGAATCTGCGGTTTTCGCCAAAATGCATGAAAATGTTTGCTTTAAAGAAATCCACTATGTTGGAAAAAGAAATCTGACATGGTCGATTGAGCACGTTAGGTCGTGACTTATCTTTAATGGCTCATATGTATTATGGATAACTGAGTATATCAACCAAAGAAAACAACCTATGACAAAGTACTGATGAAATTATCTTTTTTCACAGTCCAAGTAAATATATTTTTATAGTGTGGAATAAATAAATAATAAATGAATAAGATGCGTGCGAAATTAAATAGCAAAAAGTTGAAAAAGATTCCTGTAATTATATATCATTTACAAATTTGGAACAGCTGGCATATTATATCCAAACGATTGTCAGCACTGATAGTACTTTAGTTTGTATAAGATATTTATTTCAACAGAAAGCTATACTATTTCACTAGAATTACAAAATCGAAGTGGTGCATGGCATCTGTGCTCTCTGCAGAAAAGAGAAAAACGTTGATAATCATAGGAAAAGAAAGTCAGTCATAGCAGAAAAACATAAAACTACACAAAATACGAAGGAAACAAGAAAACCTTTATTACTGACCGCAAGTACAGTCTTTGATATATTTTATGCTAAATCTCTCTGTAGCATATCGTGATAGTCAGCTCAGAGGAATCATAATAATAACGACGAAGAGTATGGAAGGACTTTTTACCGTTGGTTTTGGGTCGAACAAGATGAAGACCTGCGGTTTCCAGTGTCTTGTACCTTGGATCTGAGAGTAACTTCCTATCTATAAATCAATTCTACCAAAGAGGTCTATCACGCTAAACCTGATCGATGTTCCAGAGGCAAGATTGCCGCTTCCTAACTTTTCATACAAGTCTAATGTTTGGAAAAATAAACTGAAACATAGAGCGACATCTAGTCTGCATATCTTCCAAAAACGCACAACTCCATCTGCGATCGTCGGGGCAGGAGCGGACTTTTCCTGAGACATCTCAGAACCAGATTTTCTTGATATTTAGAAATTTGAAAACGCATGGAAACATAGGTTACCGATCACGCTGAATCTCATCGTAATGTTTGTTTTTCGCGAAAGTTTCAAAGAATACTGAAAACCTATACTACTATCCAAATATCAGAATATACGCCATTTTATAAATAATAAAACAAATATTACGACGAGATTGAGCCTGATCGATAACCTATGTTTCCATGCGTTTTCAAAGAACTGTGTCGGATTTCATGACCGTACTCGAGTCGACAAACTAAATACGTAGTTTTGTGGTGCAGGTTGAGGCGCGCCGAATAGTATATAGGAAGTTGTGTTTTCATCAAGTTTTCTGGAAACTAGAGTCAGTTTACTGTTACAGGGCTATAATTCAAGTTTTTATGAGTCTAGTAGATTCTTGCTCAATATCGATCACACTGCTCATCAGCGAAAACTATAAGACCCTTTTTCTATATTCACTTTGGTAGAGCACATCTCGGACTACACATCTATTATTATATCTTGGATCATAGAGTCGACTCTGTACTTTGGCTCTAGAAGCTCAATCAGACGCTTGTTTGGCAATATAAGTGCACTGTTTTATAGAGCACATCAACAGCTACAAAATGCATTATCTCACTTCCTGCTTTGTTATAGTATAATAGCGGCTCTTTGATTAGAAAGTACCATGTACTCGTGAATGCCTCAAAAGTCCAATAGGCATATTTCCTCAAAATATCGTGCGTTGATACTGAAATTTAACCATGAACACAGTTTTAGTAGCTCTTTTTACTAGTAACCTTAAAATTTCGAAATGGCACTATCAGATTTACAAGTTGTTCTGGAGACCCAATGAAAAACCAAATGTTTTAGAAAGAATCACTTTTCGATGTTGACTATCAGAGGTTGTACTCTTTATTAAATTATGGTTTCTCTGAAATTTTCACTGGAAAGAATTGATTCTTGACCGAATTACGATGAAAGCTGTACACCGTATTCAAGTGGCCTGATGTAAATATTTGTCATAAATTAACATCTATGTTATATCCAAGGCTGAAAACCTCAAAACGACATCGTCGCCAGAGAGAGTATTTTCTCGCGTGACAGACTGTTTCGTTCTCAACAGAAAGAAAACAGTCTCTCTTCGACGAGAAATAGTAAGACGCACTGATTTTTATTGAACATGATAGAAAATAACCTATCTTGCATTAATTGTAATCGAAAGATTAAGCAGAAGAAACCCTCTTCGGACGATCATCGGCCACTATGCTTTTTTATATGGTGTTTGGTCTTTGATAGGCTCATCATTATCATTTGAATCAAATTCAATGCAGATGAGGTAACGTGTTCTACGTGAATGGCGGCTTTAAAGTCGACATCGGGTTAAATAATCGTTATCTGGCGGGATCTGTAGGTCGAATTCATTTTCGTGATCGTACAAGTGAGCCTTAGCATAAGCTTTACTTTGTTAAGCTTCAACTGATATGTTTCACATATATAGTTACAGGAAAAATCCATATCGAGTTCAGGAAAATCAAAATCACCTTGCACATCGAGTCAAGTAATCCATTTTTCTCGTAAAGAGAGTAGGCCAGTAGAAACTAGTTTTTCAATTCCATTTGTCGATTTAGCAGCTGAAGCATTTTCTGTATCGTAGCTTCATGCTCCAAAGACTTAGAGACGTAGAGGACAGAACGATATTTGTTTAGAGAAGCAGCAGCAATACTGGATAAGGTTCCAAGGTCGAGCAAGAACGGCTGATAGATTCGTTGGGAAAAAAATCACTTCTTTTTAGATTGAACATTGAAAGGTCCTACTACCCATCGCCATTTAGTTACCATACGAGATTCGTTGGCGGTTGTGGTTGACAACTGTTTGCCTCCCTTACTCACAAGGCCAGGCATCTTTACGTCATACCCAAGAGCCTCGAACTCTTGTCCATGGAGTTTAATTACAATCCGAGTTGATTATCTGCAGTTAAGAACGCATTGTACAGAGAGAACAAGCGCCATCGTACATCTGGTTCTCAATTCGTGCGTAATAGTGATCATGAAGGTAACTCTGAAGACGAGCAAGAACGATAACCATCGTATAAGGCGGTTGATGTTCATAATTGTGGAGTAATTTCATGCATTTACATTTTCTTCTTTCAGTATTTTTCTGTTATTTTGCCCATAAGTTACGGCTTTAGTCGGTCACGTATCCGATAGTCATTTATTTAACAAAGTTTCTTTTTATCAAGAGTGTTTTATCTTTGTTATTATGTAGAATATCCTCGGTTTCTACTGCAGAACAATCTTTTTTTGTTTAACACTTTGTATTTCTATTCCAAATGGCAGTGAGTTGATTACTCATCGTTTCGGTTTTTTGTCAAGTCAGATGCTTCCTGAACTCAATGAGACCTACGTCTCGGTAAAATAGCCACTAAAAAAGCTTTTAACCACTTGGTGAGGTGGAAATGGAGAAAAAAATTAACACACGTTTCGAATATTGTTGAAAGCAAGTATCGAATACGCAGTGTACCTCAACGGTACTATTGAGTTGTGACAAAAGCATATGACTTAGATCTAGCTATAAATTACTTTTCTACTATAATGAATTCTCCGTTCTTTTAGTGCCAGTTTGTGTTCGAAGTCGAAGATGCTATATTCTGATAATTTTAATTGTTTTCTACTTACTGATTAATTTTGTAAAACAAAGAAATGTTGAAGAAAAGCCTGAATTAGCAGATAAAATAGAATTTCTGACGATAGATCCAAATACTCAATATATTAATAAAAACGATGTGCCAGGTGATCTGTTATGGAACAAACAGCTATACGATAAATGGATTTCTAATTCAATATTAATCAGAAAACAACATGATAAATTGAGTAGTTCTAACAGAACAACTATATTTGATATAAGTGTGATGGTAGTAACAGGTGAAGTACATCATCGTGAACGATGTGATATAATCATGTCAACATGGGGTAGTCAGCAAATTCCATATGGAAATTTACATTTTATTAGTGATTCTAATGATAACTTATTACCAGTCTTACAAGTGATGAACCAACCAGCTGATTACTGGAAAAGTCAACGTAAATGGATTTTAGGTAAACAGAGTGAGTGTTTAGAGCACTGTACGAGCGGCTTATCCACTTCATTTCATATAAGTTTGGGAGAAAAAAATTAGTTCACACACTTCTCTATAAAAAGATAAGATATTTCATGTAATGTTCCGTGAAGAAGTATTGAGCTAAATATTGACTGATTCTGTGTTAAAATTAAATGTGCCAGCGTTGTCGTATTTTCCGTTAACTAGAGTACCTTTTCTACCCAAATCCACTGTCTTGTCGCATGTCACGGCGCGAACCACTTAAAAACTTCGCGGCAGGATCACGTAACGCGTTCGCTGTAAGACTCGCGAAATAAGACGCGATTTTTAGATCGCTGGTTTTTCACCTCATACAAAAATCAATGATTCTAAAGTATTTTACTATAATTACTATTTATTCGCGTTTTCATTCTAATATCAGTAAATGAGCCACGCTACTTTTATCACGAACGCAGACGAATGACGTACGCGCGACGCGACTGCACAAGACTACATATTAGTCATGTCGTAAGCTATTATTAAGATGTGATAAGATTTTGAAACGTGTACGGGAGACGCGCCGCGACGCTGTATCATGTTGTGATAGTACGAGAAAAATACGATGGCAACATGACAATTTTTTCTTACGGTGATCGCGCTCGGATAGCGAAGTCGCATCGCGATCGCTAAAAAGTCGCTATCGTTGCGTCGCGAATCAAGCAAGAAAGTGGAGTTGGGTCGTTACTCACTCAGAAAAGGTAAAGGAATAGGTCTATCGAGAAAGGGCAGGAAACGAATTCTAGATGTTTCAGTTTTCGGTAAGTGCTGAATGGGAACCCTAAAAATGAAAATCAATTTAAAGGATAAGCTCACGTTTTAAGATATACCTGAGCGAAGCTGCTCTTCTGATGGCAATGTGCGAAACGTGAAAAATCATTTTATTACTTAGTTCGATTTCTCTCTTCTTTTCTGTTTTGTTCGTCTGCTACCGTGTTTGTATCTTGAATTTATCAGGCTGATGATGCATCCACATTTAACTTTTTTGTCGAAAGTTTTTTTTAAATGTGAGAAAATAGTTGGCTCTTTGGACGCTAATTAGCGTGTCTCTTGTACAAAGAGGTAATAATCGCCATAGAGAACTGCAGAATTTTCTAAACAACTTCTTAAATGCAGCTGCGGCCTTAACCTTTTTACTGAAAGTTTTTTCAAATGTGAGAAAATAGTTGTCTCTTTGGATTTTATCTAACGTTTCAAAAGTG